AACAGGTCCTCCGTCCACACAGATGATCATGTGTTTGGTCTTTGATGGAAAATGGTTTTAAATCCAGAGAATGATTTCCTGAAAAACATGCATTGTGCATATGTGCCAACTTGTAGCGCCATTATTCAACAGACGTTTCATCAAAGGGGGTTAGTTAAAAACCGATCTCCAGATCTGAGTGACGAAACAGGTTTATAGTGTAGAGCTGTTCATTCCTCATTTCGATCCACATTATAACAAAGTACTGACCGAGCTTAGACCTCCTAGTATATCCAGCCCAAAGAAACCCTTCAGGTCAGCCCAGGATGGAGCTGAAGAAACAGAATCAATGCAGCGCACATCTGTGTACATATTTCTGTGCAATATCCTTTTAGTTGAGAAGCCAAAGTCAAAGGTAGGTCCTGTGTCTGATGTGCTGGTGTGGGTGTTTTTCTTCTGGTTGTGAAGAAACTGTCTTCTCATATCGGTTTCTACAGAGGATCACAGAACTCTGTTACAACTGTAGGTAAACTGTATATACGTAGGAGCTACGCCACATTTACCTGTCCATCACCCATTCCTGAAGGTTTTTCTGTGGCAGCAACCACCTTCACTGCTTTGTACCTGCTTGTACACTTTGGTCTGTTGTGTATCTGTAATCACACTGCAGAGACATTAAACCTTATATTTGTAGCAAATACTGAGGCTGCGATAATGGTTGCATATCAATTATCCATAAACCTGTAGATTATTTTTACTGTTAACTGATCAGTTCATTTTATAAAAGCTTTGTTTTGTCCAACAAACACGTGATAGAAAATCTGATATGTGAGAGAAACTGATTAGTGGTGTTTACTAGTAAGTGACTGTCATCATTAAATGGAGGCAGAAAGCTCTGCACACACTCCGGTTGTGTCTGAACTCGCCCTGCTGGCTAAACTGTGTGTTCGTCTTGCTATAGTGGGTGGGGTCTGAATGCTGAGTGCGTAAATCTATCCACTATATACTGCACTGAAAAAAAAAGCATATGTGCCATGTACTCCATTTTCTAACAATCCCACAAATTATGGATGCGCAGTTCTATAGCTGTTGATGACGCAAAATGTCAGTGATTAGTGTGAAATCTCAACTTACTGTTCCCTACTGAGTGAACTACTCGGTGTATGTTATGTAGGCAGCAGTGAATGAGTGAACAGGGAGTGATTTCAGACACAGCCTTAGTGTAGAAAACAGCAGTATGTGCATCGTGTCAAGAGTTGGACTCGACTGTTTCCTGCACGTCGCTAGTAATAGACACCGAGTTCCACATCAGTGCATTTTCTATAATACCCGTCTAGTTGTTTCAGTTCGTAGACGACGAGCAGGCAGTGGGAGCTCCTCACTTCAGCATTAACTAGCACAGTCAGCTGAAAGTGAAATGTCGTGTGTATCATACTGCCCTCTGCTTCCTTTTTTTAAATAAAGATTTTCAGAAACATGGTCATTTGTTTCTCTGTGTCTGTTCTGTTAGTAATGCTAAAGGTAGAACACATTTGAACACAAGTAGAAGCCAGAATATGTATTTCAGTTGTTTCACATGCAGCAGACAAATCAACACGGACTAGAAGTTAATGGATAGCTCTGTCTCATAGTGTTGGTACAGGAACACACCAACGTGTGACCTGCACCTACATACGACCTGAACTTGAGGAACTCATGGCTGTTTGGCACAGTGGTCTTCTAGTGTTTCCACGGGACAAGGGTTACGGTTTGGAGCATGTTACATGATGACGGATATGTGTTAAGTTGCTGTACATGAAGCCATGTTACATGATGTTTTGCTACAATAAAAATGTCACATGACAGTGGATACGCATTATGTTACATTAGGTGACAGTGGATAGGTGTGATGTTACACAAAAATGGATACACATTACATTGTTACAACAGATGCATGTTATGTTTGCGACAATGAGTCCATGTTGTTATGCTCTGCAACAACGGAAACGTCACGTTACAGGTCAGCAGACAGACGTTAAGTTGCATCGTATCCAAGGAAACGTGCTCCTGCAGTAGAGCAGATTCATCATCTGGTTAGTCGAGTTCAGAGGTGTCACTGCTGCCACAGCTTGGGTTCATTTAGACCCCAACATCCCTGCTGGTTTCATCAGTTCGTAGGCAGGACTTTTCCGGATACGTTCTCCCTTCAGAGAGACAATGTGTGGAAGCAGTGGCGGCTCCCTCAGAGTGAAACCTGCCGCCTCTGGACCATGAACCCTCAGCAGCACCTGGTCACCTTCAACCGCTGTCACAGCCACCCAGCCTGCAAACACAGACCTCTGAGTCACTCTACACAGCTCACTGCGATCCTTCCCCCAGTGCTTTGTCCACTTACTTCTCCATCAGGGTTCACTTTGTCAAAAACAATTGAGACCATCAACACCTGCTGGTGACATTTTTCTAGGCCCAAATTAACCTGAAAACACAAAGAGCCGGCCAATAGCAGCGCCTCATTTGTATGACCTGCTGCACTGCTGTTAATAAGAAGTTAATCAGGAGAGAGCTACACATTCAAGTTCTGGTTGGACACAACAAATCAATGCACCTTTACCCTAAAACACAGAATCAATTTGTTTTATAATGAGAAGTTGGTTTATGAACCAGGCACTACAGGTACTTATGCGCTGATCATGTATTGATTGATTACCTGCAGATGACAGCCTGATGTCAGCAGCAGCCTCCAGGTAACCTCGACCCACCAATGTGGACTCCTGAGCAACCAACGTTGGGAACTCCTTCATGCGCTCCTGCCCTCCCACAGGCACCTGAA